ACTAATCCATTTTACTGAATTATTCTAATCTCACCGACACTAGAGATATATCTGGCCAAAGATATAGAGTTCAAGTTCAGACTATGGCTCCCCTCCTTTGCAAATAAAATAAGGAGATGTCACATGTCCCACGGCTCTATTGAATTCCCGGCCAAAGGAAAACATGGAGGAATGAGCCCTGATAGGTGCCATCTACTATGCACCGAGTGATGGCATACCACGTGGTAATTTATATCCATGTAAATCTCCTTCTTTCCTTAGCCCAATAATACATGCCATATGCAAATAATGGTACATCATAAAAACTTTCTCAAATATATTATTAAAAATAAGATAGCAACAAAATTCATGTACCATTTAACAGCAACTCATGATAATTTCATAGCTATTAATATATTTAAATATTGATCATAATTACTAGCAATAAATCTTAATAAAATCAGGTAACAAACCAAAACATTTAAAAAAATCATAATATTATATTATATTTCAATATGATATAAAAATTAATAAATCCACAATATAATCATACACAATTCACATGTACAAAAAAGAATTTTCAGAGTTACCTGGTACTCTTTAACTTAGAAATAATCACACAAAGATTACTCCAAAATTCTCAAGAGTCTACAAAATTACACATAAATATCTATTAATATAAAACATGAAACTACTCTAAAACTACTCTAAAATTCTAAGACTACCCTCTAAACCAAAATTACATAAACTCTCAAATCTAGCTATTTATAATAAATATAAGATTTTGAATATAATTTACATATAAGACTATTTAAATCTAATAACTTAAATAAATATATATTTCTTAAAATATAAAGATTTTATATTAAAATCTCAATTATTTATTATAGTCTCATTTAAATTTTTTTTCTTCAACCAAACAACTCCCTTGAAGTATAAATAAATTTTAATTTTTTATAAAATTCTAAACTTACAATTCTTCAAGCTTTTAAAAATTATTTCAAAAATATATCTTTAACCTATTTAACATTCAACCCGATTAAAATCTCAATAATACATCAAATAACTCAAATAAATTATTTAACTTAAATTTAATCGATAAAAACATATTGTAAGTCTAAATAACAAATTTTTCAACTAAAATCTTAATTTAAAATTCTCCAAATAATAATTAAAAAAAATAAACTGATTAAAATTCCTTAATAATGGATCTTTAAATTTCTACATTCATATATTGTCAAAACTCCATATTTGCTCCATACCCAACGGTAAAATTTTCTCTAAACATTATAACGATTCTAATAATATAATGCTCTAAATATATAAAAGATACTCATAAAGAAGATTTGATAAAAAGAAGTATATTTGTGTACCTAAGTGATCCCCAAAAATTGTCACGTATTTTGCAACTCAACTCACTCGCTCTCTCTTCCTCTCTGCCTCTCACTCTCTCTTTCTCAACTCCTCCCGCGCAATAAAGGGAAGACAAAGGTTGCATGTATTTAATATCCTCACATTTAATTCCCTTCGTCAATTTTCTTCTGTCTATGCCTCATCCTATTCCTTCTGTCAACCGCCCCTCCTCCGCTCCTTGTTTGTTTTCTTCTTTATTGATGTTTCTCCGTTGTTTTTCAACTCTTTTTACTATTCCTCCTATTTTTTCCACCTCCATCCGTCCTTTCCTCTTTCTTTTTTTTTCCCCTCACTTCATTAATACTCTTCCCTCATTTCTCCATTCTTCATTTAATACTTCCCCAAACTTCTTCTCTAAGTCAAATGCCACAACTTTCCACCAAATTCGGTGGAAAGTTGTTTCTTTTTTTTGGGTTAAAATAATAATAAAATATTATTATATATATGTTAATTACAATTTTTGTTTAAAAAAATAGCATGTTACAGAACGACCCTTTAGTGTCACCGCTGAAGGCCCTTTCAACAGCAACACAAAAGTCACTGTTGAAGACCCTTTCAGCGGCGACTTGAAACTGTCGTCGGAGAAAATAGGACCATTGTCAGCCACTGCCATATCACCAACTAGCCATCAACCACTGCCACATCAATGCCGGCCGGTTGCCATGTCACTACAGTCGCCCACCAAGCGTCTTTACTTTACTTGCCACCTCACCTATGCTACATGTCCATACCTCAACACACCACGTCACCAATTGGATATTATCACCATAAATATGGCCCTTCACCTCCTCTTTCTGTATCCTTTTTTTTGGCCATTGAGTTGGAATGAGTTTAATTTGGTGATAATTATTGTAAAATCAAGTATATATAATAGTAATAAAATGTTAAAATAGTAATAAAATATTGAATTTGGTGATAAAGTCGCCATTGACCCTACTCTTTAGAGTGACAAAAAATATCGCTACTAAAAGTGTCCTTCAGCAGCGACTTATTATGTTAAATATTGTTAAATAATAATATTATTATTAAATATTTATATTTAATTTTCTTATTTGATTAAAATATTTATTTATAATATCCATTTTGTATTAAAAAAATATAATTCATACAATATTATTTGTTATATTTTTTCTTTCTAATTGTTTAAAATATTATATTATTTATTTTAATATTTATAATTATAATTATAAGATATGAAAATAGTATATAAAAAATAATAAAATTTAATTATAAATTTTATCATGATTATTTAACTCTCTCACACATAATTATAATATCTCACCTTCATGCACATACACCCATTCCTTCCTCCTTCCCTCTCTCTTACTCTCACACACACCATATTATCTCTCTAACCCTCTCTTTCTCTCTCTCTCTCTCTAACACAACAACATGTAAAAATATTTTATTTTATCATAACAAATCATATTACTGAATAAAATTATTGTCTAAAGATGATATTCTTTTATTAAAAACTTAAAATAATAAAAAGTTAAAATAGATTTCAGTGGCAACAATAATTGTGGCGGCTAAAAGTCCTTCAGTAGCGACATTAGGGGGTGTTTCGATAAACTCAAACCATGGTTTCGAGAATAGCTTTTTGGGAGAATAGATTCTGTGAATAGATTTTGGAAGAATAGACTTTGAGAATAGATTTTGAAAAAAAGTGATTTTAATAAAGTGAGAATATTTGGATAATTGTTATCAGAATCTTTTTTTCATATGCAAATTACTAAAAAGGATATAAGCTAATATGATAATTAGATAAATGATAGATTTTAATTTATATTGTTTGAAATAATAAATTTGTAAATAATAAATTATATATGAAAAAATATAATTAATATTATCATTGGTCCTTAGTATAAGAGCTAATTGGGTATTCCATTTGATTTTGAATATAAGATATCAATCTATCTTGTCTCATACATTTATCCATTTTTTTCAAAGTAGTCCTCATGTTAGTTTGCAGATGTTAAACGTTACATCAAATAATAATCATAGTGCACATCGTTAATAGGTGTTTTAAAGAATACAACACATATTTATTATAAATAAATAGTTTAACTAATTTTCTTAATGTTTACAAATTAGTTTTCTAACTCTTACATTAAGGATCAAAGGTAGTAATTGATATATGTATATATATTTATATCCCAAACCATGGTTTTATACCTCCAAAAGCAAAAAAAATTCACTTTATGAAAAACCATGGTTTCATACCCAAAACCATGGTTTCCAAATGAAAAGTGATTTTGGAAAAAATTATGGTGTTTGGTTACTTTTTTGCAAACCATGGTTTCAAATTGATAAATGATTTTGAAAAAATATGTAGTGTTTGGATGTTTTTTCTTCAAACCATGGTTTTCTCTTCAAAACCATGATTTGAAGAAAAACCCAAACACCCCCTAGGAGTCGCCACTAAAAGTCTCATTTTGAAAGTTGACCTTCAGTAACGATTTTAAAAAGTTGCTACTGAAAGTACACTTTCAGCATGATATTTATGGTCGCTGCTGAAAGTAAGATTTTTAGTCGCAACTCTTGATGTCACCACTGAAAGTGACACTTTCAGCAATGACATTTTGTGTTGCCGTTGAAAATTGTCAATAAAAGTCCTTTTTTAATGGTGAAAGAATCTTATTTAATTTTGGATTAAAGTGTATCTAGCACTTAAAGAATTTTTTTCAAGTACGTCCATCATTCTAAAATACTACCTCCAGTACTTAATGTAAAAACTAATTGATTAATTTAAATAGATTAAGAAAGTTTATTAAATTATTTATTTATAATAAATATATGTGTTGTCTTTCTTAAAATATTCTTAGTAACCATATATATTAGTTAAAATTACCATTGATAAAATCTTCAACATGTGCAATTGCTATAAGAACTATTTTAAAAAAATGAATAAATAACCAAAAATACATTATAAGATGCACCTGAAAGAATAATACCTTTAGACCCATGAAAAGATATCACCCTTTTTCGTTTTTTTTTTTATACTAGCCTTTAGTTCGTGCCGTTTCACTGCATAATATAAAAATAATGAAAAAAACACGTATCCCCTTGATAATATTAAAACGACAGTGATAACTTTCTTTTAACTATAAATAATTTGTTGCTGTCTCCATATATGCTCTTTATACTTCGAGAATATGTATGATTTATTACAGCTAAAATAGTAATAATATATGTATGTATGCAAAACAAGGACTAATAAAATTGAAAATTATTTAAATTATATGATCAATTTATAAACTCAAAAACACTATAAAATTTAAGTAAAAATGAGAAGGCTCATACATTTTAACTTTAGGAAAAACCTAAGTAAGGCCTTTATGGAATTGTAATTGACTTTATAATTCCTTGCGCCCATATATATTCAAGTGAGCAAGTTTCCAATAACCGATGAACTACCCATCATGGAAAAATATCATCTCTCTAGAAACTTTTAAGTTCTAAACTTTTGCAATTAGAAAATCACAGTCATGATGATTATCAGATTTAGCAAGCAAATTACCCACTTGATCTTGACCCATGACCTAACTTGTTCATTATATTAGTGGCTCAAATCTCATTAATCTTTTCAGATTGATCAGAAAAGAATAATGGCTGAAGGGAAAGAAGAGAAGAAAGAAGATAAGGGAAAGGAGAAAGAGGAGAAAAAAGAAGAGAAAGGAAAAGAGAAGAAAGAGGGAAATAATGTGATTGATGCCATTTACAAAGTGAACCTGCATTGCCAGCAATGTGGACGAAAGATCAAGAAGCATCTCCTTGTTACCCAAGGTACGTGTTTCTCTGTGTACACTTCTTCAATCATTTGTTCTATTTTTTTTATCTATATATTTTGAAATTTAATTTATTACGCACTATTTTTTCAAGCTTTCCACAATGTTAGCAAAAATGGGTAGATAATGATTTTTTTTTTGGGGCTACATTCGTTGGATCCACACCGGTTGGAGATCCATCGGTGTAAAAAGACCTTTTTAACCAACGTGAAAGGGCTTTTTTTTTTCCGCCTTTTATTATAGTCAGAGACCATTTCTTGCATATTCTTGTGAGAAATTTGATGAAGCTTAGTATGAAATCTGGTGATAAATCATGAACAGGGGTTCAGAATGTTGAGACAGATATGAAGAAAGGAGAGATAAAAGTAAAAGGAAAATTGGATCCTTTAAAGATATTGAAGCTCATTGAGAAAAAGAGCAACAAAAAGGTTGAGTTAATATCTCCAAAAATCAAGGTTCAGCCTCCAGAGGAAAAACCAAAGGAAATCAAGAAGGAAGTAAGTTCCCCCCCCCCCCATATAATAATCTGGCATTCAAAACCTTACCTGACTGACACAGAAAGTCCTGGTCTGCAATAGTATAGGGCCTCATGTGTTAAGCAACACCAAAGGTATAGATTAGTTTTATATAATTTGACTATTTATGATTTTGTCAGTAGTGTTACTTATAGTCTGGTTTTATATATATTGATTTTTTCCTATATATAACAATTAGATATATTTTATTGGGTTATGCAAAAAATTGGATTCAAGATACATATGATAGAGTTAAATTAGACATGGCAGAGTTAACTATTATATCTATTTTTGCTAGAGAAGACAAATTTCTCCCATGAGGATTTCAATCTAGATTTCAGTAACATGCTAAATTTTACATATAAATCAAGGGGTTATAATCAGATATCTTGAAATTGAATTGATTATTGAATCAGTGAAGCGTTCGCATCTTAAGATTAGATTTGATGATAGGAGGAAACTTAGATCAAATTAATTAGGACGAGTAGGTCCAGGTGACCAATTAGATTTTGCCACCTGTATTTGTTTTACACATCATCACTTTTCATCACTTAACCTCACGTTAATACTGTTAGGGTAGGACGATCAGTGGAAGAAAAGGTCAGGTTCTTCATTGCCTTTCCATCGTCTTCAACCTCGAACCCACTATTAGCGCAATAATCCATCAAGTTACCTTCAACTTCAATTCAGATCTCCACCTTCGATCCTATCTTTTTCATGAGGCACCCTCTTCCTTCACTATTGCCGAACCCGCCACTTCAACTCCTGCAGCGTCATCCATCCTTCCTCCCCCTGAACCTTTCAATGCAATCAGTATTCGTCATTGGGAAGCTCATCCTCCTCTTCACTTCCTCCCACGATCTCCTCCCCGCACCATCTCACTGACTAATTTTTGATCGGCACCAAGTTCTCTTCCAATGTGGCTCGACCCATGGAGAAGGGTTACTTCATGATAGATCCAGATAGTGCTGTGAGAGAGTCACCATTAACGCAGTCGAGTGGAGAGTAAAGTTGTGCATGGTGAAAGTCAAAGTTATAACTCCTCGAATTTTCTGACTCAAAAAGAGCAGAAAAATATTTATTAAAATTATTTAAGTTATTTTTGGAAAATAAACTTTTTCATGAAATTTCTAAGAATCCAAAATTAATGTTCCATAATTTTTCTCATTTTACTTAGGCTTAAAATAATTTTAATAAATTTCATTTTCCTTATTCTCCTGAAATATGAAAATTTGGGATGCTACAAAAGTAACGCTAGCTTTGCGAAGGAAAGGAACTGTAGAGGGAGATTATGGAGTTGCAAATCTGGGGGGAGAGAAAATAGTTGAGGAGGTAGAGTTCGTGGGAAAAGGTAACGGCGTTAATAGGAGATTAAGTGATAATAAGCAGTGATGTGGAAAACAAATACAAGTGGCAGAATCTAATTGGTTACCTGGACCTACTCATCTAATTAACTTGAGATAATCTATCTATTGTTAAATTGATCATACTTAAAAATATGTATTTTTAATTTTATACATTTTTTTAAAAAATATATTAACCAATATGCGGGAAAAATTTTAAGGGAAAACTAGTGAGAGAAAAAGGGCCTTGATTGAAAAAATATTAATTGTGCAAAGGTACCTAAAATTTGTTTAAAGACTCGGGCAACTTATCTTTAGTGGGCCAATACAACTTTTTTTTTAGCCATGTGTAACTTACTTTTAATCTGCAAAGCGGAAGACATTTGCATTGCATACAGCTAAAAAAATTAGACTCATAAAAAATGAGTTGCATTTGTTCACGAAGCTGTATCCTTAAGTCTTTGCATAATTAATTTTTTAATCAGAAATTTTGACGAATTTTCCTTTTTTTTTAATAAGAAAGATTCAGTAAGTTGATTAAAAAAATTGTTTATCATGGGTTTAAATTTACCGTATATTTATAAATATATGGAATTTCAAAACTTCAGAAGTTTAAAAAAATATTGAAAAAAGATAATACTTCCTTCAAAATTACTTTTGATTCATTCCTGTCGAGTGCATGGTTGAATGCCAAATTCAACTTTTTTTACTTAATTTTGCAAACCACTACCCCGGTCCTTAATATAAAAGCTAGTTGATTAATTTGAATAGATTTAAAAAGTTTGTTAAGTTAGTTATTTATAATAATTAGTTGTTGTCTTTTCTAGAATATCCTTGCTAATTATGTATATTAGCTATAACTACTATTTAGTGAAATCTTTAACATGTATAATTACTACAATGATTATTTTGGAAAAAATGGATAAATATGAAAGACAAAGTGGATTGGGGTCTTATATTTAGGATCAAATTGAAAGTCAAACTAACTCTTATATTAAGAATGGAGCTAGTATATTAAGTTGATGTGTGTGTGTGTGTGTGTGTGTGTGTTTGCAACTAAGTAATCAACAATTTTTGTGTGATTTGAAGCCAATAATTCGCATAATCACAGCAAAGGTTCATATGCATTGTGACAAATGCGAGAGAGACCTGAAAAAGAGGTTGATCAAACACAAAGGTACCCAAAACCTTAGAATTTTCAATTTCAAATGCGTAAAATTTGTATGTTTCATTTCTTGATGTGTAATGTTTATATTTATTTTTTAAAAATAAAATTTGCAGGTATTTTCAGTGTTAAAACTGACCAGGAAGCTGAAATTGTGACAATTGAAGGAAGCATCGAGCATGAGAGATTTTTAAGGTTTCTAAAAAGAAAAGTGCACAAAAACGCAGAGATTATTTCGTCAAAGGAAGAGAAAAAGGTTGAAGACAAAGGAAAGGGAAAACAAGAAGAAAAGGGTGAGAATAATGTTTTATCTCTCTGATAAGTTATGAACCTCAATTAGATATGGGCTCATTGCTTAGATTTATTTAATTATTAATTAAATAATATATTTGAACCTCTAACTTTATGCATGCTTTTGGCTTAATCTCTCAATTTATAAAGTGTCCTTTCAATCCTCTAACCCTAACACGATGAGTCTCAAATGATTTTGGATTAATACCATTTTTAGTCCTTAAAATTTGACTTCATTTTAGTTTTAATTCATAAATTTGAAACAAGATACTTTGGTCCTTGAAACTTTGTCTCACACATATTTTTTTTACAAATATTTAATTTAATTAATTTTTTTAATCTCTATAAATTAGTTATTTAGTTCCTTCATTTAGAACTAGATGAAGTATGTATGTACACTGGAATAATATAAAATTCAAAAATTTGTTGTAATTAATTAATTTCCTTAATCTCTATAAGTATATATTTGTGTTTGCATTAGGCAAGGCAGGTGAATCAACCAAAGAAAAAGAAAAAGAGAAGAAGAAAGATGGTGAAGAACCTGAGAAGAAGGAAAAAGGAGACGAGAAATCTATTGTTGTTGGATTAACCAAAGAGAAAGAGAAAGAGAAGAACAAAGATGGTGAAGAACCAGAGAAGAAGGAAAAAGGAGAGGAGAAATCTATTATTGTTGGATCAACCAAAGAGAAAGAGAAAGAGAAAGCGAAAGAGAAGGAAAAAGGAGAGGAGAAATCTATTATTGTTGCATCAACCAATGAGAAAGAGAAGAAGAAAGAAAAGAAGGGGACACAGATAATACAAATTCAAGAAGACACCAAAGTTGAGATTGTGGCCAAAGACAATGTTCCTTATATCATCCACTATGTTTATGCTCCTCAGATTTTTAGCGATGAAAATCCTAATGCTTGTTATATTTCATAGATCAATCATTGCGGAGTCTAAGATGACTTTTATTATTTATCATTTATTAATATTGTATCTCTATATCTATATATGTTAATTTTATATATTTGTATATAAAAAGATATATATATATATATTACATGGGATTTTTTTGAGTTGTATAAAATTAAATAAATGTTCTTTCATATTTTGTAGATTAAATAAATATATAGTGAGAGTATGTTGAAGATAATAAATATGTAGGAAATATATTTTGTGCCCCCAAATTTGCTCTTCACTTCAAAAAGACATGCCATTAGCGACGGAATTTTTATTTAATGACAAATTAGCAACAAAATCATATTAGAGATAGAATTTGTTCCGTTACTAATTCTTCTGTTATTAATTAGATTAGTGACTGAATTTCAATTCAGTCACTAATTAGTAACGAAAAATTTCCGTTACAAGTTAGCGATAGAAAATTTCCATCGCTTATCCGATTTTTTTTAAAATTTGAACCCCACATGGCGCCTTCACCAGTCATCACATCATCGCTAGTGACTGCCTCCGGCCACCACCACGTGTCACTGCTACCTCACCTCCCCTGCCATTTGTCACCACCCCACCTCTACCTGCCATGTGTTGCCATCTCGCATGCCACCTTGTATCACCATGTGTTGTCACCATATAATTTCTCCTCAAATTGACCTTTGCATGGCTCATCTGTGCATACTCGTGGCTTTACTAGTTGAGTTATAATGAACCTGTTGTCTTATTATACAAAATTGAATATATATATATATATAATATTCTTTTACATAAACAATTATTTATACAAATATATTATTAAAAACTAAAAATAAACTATATGATAATTTTAGTCATAATTATTTATGACAAAATAATTTTTAAATATTTTTTTACTATTTATTTTATAATTTTTTAAAAAAATATTTTTAACATAATATTAATTTCCAATGACACTAATTTTGAATTTTAAAACGTAAATAATTTTTTCATAAATATATTTTTTAAATTTAAATTTTTTAATTAACTTTGATAAGATATATAATTTAATTATATATGTTTTATGTTACATTATATTTTATTATCTATATGTGTTTTATATATTTGATGAAAACCATTTATAATTGGTAAATAGCTACTGTAATAAAATTTAATAAATCATTCTATATAAAAAAATTACATAATTTGAATAGCTTATGATAAATTCTCCTACTTATATATATATATATATATTCTATATAATTTATTTTCTTAAAATCCTTTGTAGATACCATTTGTTTTTGCGTTGAAGACCAAAATTGATCATATTATGGTTATTAATTATATCATGATTAAATTTTATTTTTGATGATTAAAATTCAAAATTCACTTCAACATTAGTTTGATTTATAATCATAAATTGAGTTGTTCATAGAAATTCATTTTTTGGTTTTGAATTTTTATCATATATTACATCTTTCAATATATTGTACATATAATAGAATTATTTCTTTCTTATATCAATTTGTATGAGAAAGTTATTAATATTCTTGTCATATTTGTTTACTTATTATTAATAACCAAGAAGAAATGATTTTAATGAACTATAAATAAGTTTTCTAAGAAATTGTCTCCCTATTCTCAGCATGTATCTAGTGATGAGATGAATGATAATGATACCTTCATTAACACTAACTCTACAAATGTATCAATTTATTTTACAATTGAAAATATATTTAAATTATTATATTCTTAATTATGTTATTATATAAATTGTTGTAAGTTTATAATCTAAAATAATGAAATTTAAAATTAGTGATGAATTAGCAACGGAATAGACTTAGCGACAGAATTAGTGACATAAATTTTCATGAGAAACAATTTAGTGATAGAAATTAGTGACGAAATTTTTCCACTGCTAATTCCAAAGTTAAAAATTTTATAATTAAAATTAGCCACAAAAATTTCTGACGAAAAATATTCCGTTGCTAAATATTTTTTGACGGATTTGCAACAAAACTTGGCAAGGGAATTATAGTCGCTAAATTTAGCGATGAAATTTCTATCGGTAATCCGTCAGGAATTAGTGATAAAATAAATTTTTATTATTAATTCTATCGGTAATAAATTTTTTTTTTGTAGTGCTTGTTTATAAGTTGGAAGGCGAGAATGGACAAAAGATAAGAGAGACTAGATTAGAGCATATGAAAAAATTAATGAGAGTGTATATTAATTAAGGATAAAATAAGTAAAAGTACATTTAATGTTTAGACAAACACAAAATGAATCTTATAAAAACTAACTAACCAATTCAAAAATTTAGATATTATAATAAGAAAAGAGAGTGATGGTTTTTTTTTTTTAACTGAATTACCACTAAGCACTAACTTTCATCAATGAAATACACAATGAGGTGTTTCAAACGCTAATATGGTGATTCATGTCAACAATATTAATAAAAGCATAATTAATGTGCATAACATGTGATAACATTATTGGTTTGAGCTAGCTAGTTGCAAGGTATAATCAACAATGTACTTTAAAAATATTAAGGAAAAATCACAGAAAAGCCCCTTGAAATAACAAAATTACAAAATAGGTAACTGAATTAACAAAATTACTGTTAGAAATTGGGTCTTAAATATGAATTATAAAATATTGGGCAAAAGACTAAAATATTCTTCTTCTCTTTCTTCCCTCACCACATCTCTTTCTCTTTCTTCCCATCTAGAAGCTTTCAACTATTGTCTTCCTCACCTCCATCTCCTTCTCTTTCTTCCAGTTCTGGTAATTATTCGCACCTATAATAAACATCATAATTAACATGTTCAGCGTCATAAGCTTTCACAAACGAGGTAACATCATAATGGAAAACCTCAGCGACCTCAAGTTTCTCAAAGGTCAAACTTGTGCTGTCCGTAGTTTTACCGAGAACTTTGGGTGCAAGCTACACAGCTTCCTCCTTTGTGATATCATCCTTGTAATATTAGCTTGAATATGGACTGTGCTGTCTGGTTATTTGCACCAGTAGCTGTAGCTTTCCAACCGCCATAATTTCCACTAGGGTCACTCATGTAAAGTTCAAAGCCATAATTTTTGTTCGTACCAGCAAAAACAAATGAGACTCCAAATGGCCTAGGATCACAAAATTGTGTGTAACTACTACAAAAAAAACAACTGATTAGCAACGGAATTTGCGACAGAAACAAATTCCGTCACTAATGTCTAACGGAATTTGCAACGGAAACAAATTCCGTTGCTAATTTCCCACGAAATTGCGACAGAAATTCCGTTACTAATTTTTTCGACGGATTAGTGACAGAATTTTTTCATCGCTAATATTAGTGACGGAATTTCTGTCCGTCGCTAAAATCCGTTAGAAAATCTGTCAATCAATATTTACGATGGAATTTTTTCTATCAGAAATTTCCGTTGCTAAATTGTTTGTCACAGAAGTTTTTGTCACTAATTCCGTCGTAATTCCATCACTAATCCGTCACTAATTTTAAATTTTGTTAGAAATAACAAGTATTGAAAAGCTGTTCACATTAACTTAAATTCTAGCATAAATGGATATTATTTTCACAATTTAGTTGCTAATAAGTCTAGTGTGAGAAATAGTAATTATTGAAAAACTATTCACTATAACTTAAGTTTTAGCAAAAATTGGTATTATTTCCACAATTTAGTTATAATTAAAAAGTCTAGTATTAGAAATAGTAAGTGTTGAAATTTGATAGAAATTGGTATTATTTTCATAATTTAGTTGCTAATGACAAGTCCTGCATGCCAAATAACAAGTGATGAATGTGAAATTGCTAATTTAGTTTTATTAGTTGTTTTTCTCGGCCACTGTTTTGGCAGAGATTTAGCCATCTCAATTAAATCAAATTAGAAACTAAAAGGATAACGATTTTGTCCATTTCTCTGTTTCCTTAGGTATAGCTCCATTTCCTTAAGCAAGGTTACACAAAATTTGGTGGTCCCAGGCCATTCGGAGTCTCATTTGTTTTTGCTGGTTGGCACAAAAATTATGGCTTTCAACTTTACATGAGTGACCCTAGTGGAAATTATGGTGGTTGGAAAGCTGTAGCTATTGGTGCAAATAACCTGCAGGCAGCACAGTCAATATTCAAGCTAAGATTACAAGGATGATATCACAAGGGAGGAAGCTGTGTAGCTTGCACCCAAAGATCTCGGTAAAGCATATCACAAGGGAGGAAGCTGTCTAGCTTTATGTCAAGGAACAATCAACCAGCCAGAAGTACTCATTCAAGAAATCAATAGCCTCATGACCTTTTCAGATATTGCTTATCCCCCAGAGGGCCCTGATCTAAGTAGTATTCAGTCTAAGAATGGTTAATTATTCTCCAAAAACTATTTACAACACGTTATTAGATACTTAGGGCAAAAAAATGGAAGACCCCCTTTACGGAGGAAATTACAAGACTTGAGTAGGTTTACAACTCTTGAATGAACTTTCACAATTTCAAATACATTATTTACAACACGTTATATATTAGACACTTGGGGGGGGAGGGGGACGAAAGGTTCACTTCACAGCGAAGTTACTTGACTTGAGTAGGGATTAACAACTCTCAAATCAATTTCAACCATTTCAACTCAACTACTTACAACACCTTATTATGCCTTACAAACACTTGGAAAAATGAATAGATTTGAACAGGGATTAACAAATCTTGAATAGATTTTCACCATCTCAGATTAACTATTTACAGCACGTTTTTAGATACTTGGAAAAAAAAAACGAAAACATCACTTTACAGGGGAAGTTACTAGACTTGATTTGGGGTTAACAATTCTTGGATGAATTTTAACCACTTTGGATAATCTATTTACATCATTTTTTAGACGTTCGGAAAAAATGGATAGACTATTTACATCGTTTTATTAGGCATTTGGGAAAGAAATGAAAGGTCCACTTTATATGAAAGAGACTTGAGGAAGCTAACAACTCTTGAATAGATTTCCACCGTCCAAGATATGTTACTTCCAACACGTTATATTAGACACTTAGCTTCCAAAAAAAAAAAATGAAAGGTACACTTTATAGGGGAAGTTACTAGACTCAAGTATGAATTAACTAACAACTCTTGAATTGATTTTCATTATTTTGGATCGCTTATTACACCACGTTGTCATACCTTGTACGTACACTTGCAAAAAATGAAAATAAGAGGCACTTGCAATGGTGAAGTTACTATATTTAAGTACGGAAAACAACTATTGAATTTATTATCACCATTTAGGATTAGCTATTTACAGCACGTTATTATAGCTTGCACACTTGGAAAAAAAAAATGAAATTAAGAGACACCTGTACGTAATGGTGAAGTTACTAGATTGAGTAATGATTAACAACTAGTGAATCGATTTTTACCATTTCAGAACAACTATTTGCAACAATTATTATATCTTACACACTTGTAAAAATAAAAGCAAGACGCACCTGTAAGATTAACGATTCTTGAATCAATTTTCACCATTTCGGATTAGTTATTTACAACGCGTTGTTATACCTCTACACTTGTAAATTAATTGACATTAAAAATGGGTTTTGTGAGAAATGAGATGATACATCGGCGGAGGATGCGTCTCTGTATTCTAATGATCCTCCTCGTGCATCGCTCGAAATGCAACGGTGGGAAGAATAGAAGGAAAAGACTGGGATTTGTTAGAGGGAGAAGCATGGCAGAATGATTCCGAAACAGAGGGCGCGCGATAAGGCACGCTTTTTCAGCTTTCTCCTTTACTCTCCCCTGATCTCAGTTTACTCTCTCCATCAACCCAATATAATCAAATCAATCATTTCTTCAGTATATCCACCTATAAATGTCCCAAACAAAATCCACACGAGATCTCCTCAAAATGTTTTTAAAAAGGACGGAAAATATTAGGATGAAAGGGCGAATGTGGAGGAATTAAAGGCGGAGCAAGAAGCAGAATCAAAGTGGAGAAGAAGCGAAGATAATGATGGAAAGGATGAAAAAAAAACCAATCTTTTTTGTAAAAAAGGTTTAAGGTTCAGATTTATCTCGGAAGTTTCTACTCAAGTGTGCTGGGTACTCGGAAGCTTTTTTGGGTGTAAATTTGTCCCGAAAGTTTAAAATCACAATAATATTTTAAAATGTTAGTTTTTCTAACAATAGGGGGAATATATTGCTATAATTTTGAAATACTTCCGAGACAAATTTTTCACAAAAAAAAAAATCTTTTGAATGTCCAGCGTTCTTGAGTAAGAACTTCTTAAACAAATTTGTACATTATCCCGAAAAACATGAATAAAAGATGAAATATGGCTGGCAATTAACAACAAAATTATGATTTTAGACAATCATGCTTTGAATGTTTTGTTAGGCAAGATGAGCCTATTTGTTTTCTAGTATTGGAGAATCCATATGTGTGTTTATATAAACACACACATATTCACTTATGCCTGAATTAAGAATATGTATATTTGTGCACTCAATGTCTAGTATTCAAAGTTAGTTTGTCTACCTAATTATAGACAAGAAACTAAAAAACAACATTCCTCTAGTTCCCTAAAGCTTCTGCTTTTCTTCAAACTCCACCGTTGCTACCTTAATTTGAATCAATCAATACATCGTTCCTGATGTTACTCAATTGTATTTTAATCAGTGGCCTGGAACTTATACAAGAATCAAATATGATATACATGTGTGTGAAACATTAATGTGTAAGTATCCATAATTTCACCAAATTTTTAATTAAATAATTCTTTGTAGTTTTTTCAAGTATAGTTATTCGTCATTATATTCATAATTTGTTCATTTATAAGAGAAATGGCATTAGTAGTTAATGACATGACTCTCACTTAGTATACACCTGAATTAATTTTGCTACGTGAATCTAAGTAAAATCAAAATCAACTTGATTACAGATGATGTATGTATGTATGTATGTGTGTGTGTGTGACGATTATGAGCATAATAATTTTTTATTTTTATGGTGATAATAAATAAATTTTATTTTTAAAAATTTTCTTTTTTTCTTTTGTATTTTGTGACAGCTTACATGTTACTTAGTTAACATCCATATCAACTCTAATTAATAAATTATGAGCCTAGTGCCTTTAATGAGAACACTTGTAAGGACAAGTTAATTAAAAGGGAAAAAAACCTACAAGAATGTAATCAAAATTGGGTGAAACTATAATTAGGACCAACAAGTTAATTTTTCGGGTGTGTGTCATATAAAATATATATGGCTAGTTTCTTTGCCCAACTACTTAAATGTTGATACAGTGGAACTAATTATGTGAGGAAGATAGAGGGGGAGAACATGACCAAAGCAATATTGTTAGGGTCATCTTAAATAGTCCCCCAAGATTATTGCCAAATTATTGATTAATTAGCAACCAGACACGAAACAGACATCACAGTGATTGTTGTGGTGGTTCAACAATATTAGGTAATTATATTAATTGCTTAATACATTAACTGATATATTGAGATGGTTTAACCAAATTAATTAACGAGAATTTTTTTTTTTTTAAAGTTCAAACATGCCTAACCAACATACAACGCGGACAAACGCAACGTCTTCACGATAAGAAATATTTACAAAATCATACATCACACGTAGGACAAAGAAAATTAATAATTACAAAATTTTCATTTAACTCCCACTGTAGACAATTAATACTTTAGTATCAATCAATTCCCAAAAAAATTATAAAAATTTTTAAAAACATTTTTGTAAATTGTCAAATTTGGATTGCAAATTGCTGAATTTGAGTTGTTAGTCCTTGTAAATTTTATGGCAGAATAAACAACTTAAATTCAGTTATCTACAACAAATATTTGGCAATTCGCAACCCAAATTTGGCAATTTACATGAAACATAAAGGAATTTATAACTCCCAAATGCAATTTTGTTTTGGTATGAATAGAGAACTCAAATTTGGAAATTCACAACAAAAATTTGATTATTTGTAACTCAAATTCGGTGATTTATAAAAAACATAAAAAATTCACAACCCCCAAATGTAATTATTTTTGTGTGAATGGACAACTCATTCAATGATTTACAGGAAAAATTCAGTGATTTTCAACCCAAATCTAAGAATTTGTAAGAAATATAAGAGAATTCACAACTTCAAAATAAAGCAAGGATATTTTTATCTTTTCACCCATGAAATTTTACTCCTTCAAGATGCAGTGAAATTTTAGAATTTTTTTAAGGTTGACTGATATTAATTGTCTAGTGGAGACTTTATTAAATTTCTCCCAAACAAATAAGTAAGAATATGCATGTATATATGGATATACAGGATTCAGATCTTCTAACCTTTTTCTCTCTTCTCTTTTTCTGTTTAGAATCTCATTCTACTCTTAGATTAAAATATGGATGGTTCTGATTTATTATTTTATAATAACAACTTATTGGGAAAAAATTGGAAAAAAAATTGATCTCAATAACTTTTTTGAATGCAAACAAAATTACAATAACAAAGAACAGAAATGATCTTCCATACCCAGTGTCAAGGTTAACAAGAAATGCACATAACATATAAAACTTAACAAAACTATGCACTTAACAGCCACGGTTGCCTAAATTGTATACATCTCAAACAGAACTTTGAGGTATATACAAATAGTTTTAAAATTTATTCAGATAATTCTCATATAGTTAATTGGTCCATTCTCTTACCAATAAATCATGATATGTTATATAGAGAGTATTGTCTATGCATAATACAAAATCTGATGAGGTTAATTTTTTTTATCAAAAATCTAAAAAAAAGTTCAGGACATTATTTTTCTTATGACATATCGTGTCCTCTTATTGAATTAACAGAAAAATTAATAGCACATTGAAGAAGTTTTCTTCTTATACACTTTTTAAAGATTCTGAGATTTATTGTTGAGTTTTACAATGTTAACAGCTACCTATACCAACCTCAAAATTTGAAAGATTTACAAGTGTGTGTATCTGTTATATGTATATATATATTTCTTGCCTCACGCTAACTTCTAAAATAAAGCACCGATAGTACTTGAGTGCATACTTCAAGCATTAAACAAAACGAAATAATTGAGAAAAACAAGAAATAAACAGTGAAAACATGCAAGAATGTAATAAATGTAAAGCTAGATTAACAAAAACTGATGCTTTTAAGACAATAATGCGCGCGCGCACACACAGAGATACACACACACACACACACACACACACACACCTGTGTGTTTACATATGCTATGAATATAGATATGCCTTTTGTTCACGAGCCCTGCAAGCAATTTAAAACCTATCTTTAAGAATCCTATCTTTCAAAGTTAGCTTGTCTACTTGAAGACAAGAAGCTATAAAACGACATTCATGTTTCCTAGTTTCCTAAACTTTTTTGCTTTCACAAGCTTCATCGATGTTACCTTTGAATCGACCAAAACAAAGTAAGACCAAGGTACTAAAACTAGAACAGTGATTAAATTGATCAAGACCATGGTTGGATGATCAGTGGTCTAACTGTAGTTAAACTGTGATCAACCCAATCATAATTACAAATAAAATAATATAATTAAAGTATCCATCCCAATGTATTCATATATAACCTTGACAAGAATAATATTTAAATACCCAAAACTACATAGAACATTCATGTATAAACAACATATACATAATCTAATAAAACAATGTTACTAAAGTACATATATGATGAACTACTTTTTTTTTTTTTAACTCAAAACAATGTCGTTTTAGGCTCAGCAAAGGAGAAAAAAGAATGAAATCCAACTTGGTTGACATGTCCAAAACCCTTGACTAGACTAATTCACGGTTTTCTGATGATCTAATCGGATAACTTGGATTGGATTTTAGTGGTAGAAGTAGGACATGCATGCACAAACACGCATTGAAATAGATTGTGTAAGGTGGATTTTATTCATGTGGTAATTAAATTTGTTAAGAACAGCACATATCCTACATGAAATAGGCCAAAAAAAAAAAGTATGCATGACAGATTAGCTTTGTGAGATAATTTTACCGTCCAAATACTCTACATTTGTGTTGTTGGCAAAAAAAAAAAAAAAGAACTTCACATTTGTCACATTTTAGGAATCTGGATTCATATTTAATTTTCATGGGGAGTAAGATCAGTTTATTGGTATTATTATGTGCATCTCAAAATTTGTATTTTTATTCATTTACTAATTAAATTATAGAAATAGATTCAAGTGTGAATTTTTATAATATGAATTTTTTTATTCGAGAAAGTTCCATCTTTGAGATCTTTGGCTATCATACTGAGTTACGAAATTGACTAGAGTTATATATAGTTCTTTTAGCCATTAATCCCAGCAAGGTTTGCAATAAACGCACAACATTAGTTAAACATTATCACATTATTAAAAGATATCTGATCTATTAGCTATTTGGTTATATCTTGGTACTGCCTCCTCCGGTTTAAAATATGAGTTAGATAAGGCTTTCAGTTTGTTTCTAAATATAAGATATCAATTTACTTTTTTTCCCCTCAAATTTATAATCTTTTGCTCAAATTATCCTATTAATTGCATACATTAAAAGGGCTCCCAATTAAGAGGTAACTACAATATACATTATTAAATAAGGTGATTTAGGAACACTAAGATATATTTGTTATAAATAACTAACTTAACTAATTTCTTTAATATTCACAAATTAGTTATCTAGCTATATTATTAAGGGTAGGAGTTAGCAATTTATGTATTAACTATGCTTCGATTAATGTTGTTGAACTTCTTGAAACTTGCATGAGAGAGAGAGAGAGGGGACAAGAAAACTTGAAGCTTCAAGGCAAACAACATCAAAGCAATTCTTTTGCCTCGGAAGTGCAATAATTAGTTTGTCCAATTAATTGGTTTCTGAGTGTTGGTTTTCTTTAGGTTTTTGTCTCAAGTAATCGCTAAGCAATAGGAGTATTCTGCAGTATTCTTTCTAGTTACATTGTTAAATCTAGTGGCATAGTTTGATTAGTTTTAAATATAAGATTTTGATTACTTTGGTTTTCAAATTTATAACTTTTTTTCCTAAATTCTCTCCATTGATTGCATATGTTTAGAGGGTTTTCATAAAGAGTATAACTTTCAATGCAAATGAAACCAGGTATAATTTTCTTAATCTTTATATATTAGTTACCTTACCCTTATATTTAGAACGAGGTATAATTTGTGCCTAGCCAACACTACATGGAACAGAGAAGAAATGTTTAATAGTAATTCAAACATCTCTAAAGCTACATAACCCAACAGAAGGCATTAATTAGAGAGAATCAATCTTTAATTTACAGAAAAACAAGGGGAGGTAAAAAATCAGTAAATCTACAAATTCAAGTCATGGAGAACTAGTAATTAATTATTAATTCTCACCTTTTTCTAGAGAAATAATATTATATCGATATATGAGAGGCCAAGCCAATGATGGTAACTACAAGACAAGCATCGAAGAAATATATACTTCTTGTGCAAGTTCAAGGATTAGGTTATCAACTTGATTTTTCTCTTACTTAGTAATTCATTAAACAACTAATATAATTTTTTTTTTTTTAATTCATTCCATCTGGCCGACAATACGCCATCGGACAACGAAATTGTGTCTATTCTACTCGAAGTAATTAAAGCTTATTAATCTGAGATCTGAGAGCACAAGAGTGGTCTTCAACAAGGAAATTAAGGAGTGTTTAACAATTCAAACATAGCTAATTAACCAAACACAACGCAACAGATAATCAATCTTCAACAAAACGAAAGAGATGAAATTTACAAGAATCAACAGAAGTAGTCATAGTTAGAGAGATAGAAACTAGATTAATTCATCGACTCTCACCTTTTTGTGCCCTAGAAAGCTTAATATGGCTGCTGAGATCTTCCACCGCCAGAATTTTCAACCCAGTTACCGTTAAGAGGTAACTGAGACATGTTTACAGGCAAATTCAAGAAGGGAAGACCAGAAGATGAGCTCGGAAATCCATTCATGTCTCGGTCCCCGCCACCGCTGTTGTCAGCGCCGCTGCCGTTCTGGACCGGTAAGGGTTCCTCCTCGTTATCTAATGGCAATCTCTCATATGCTACGTTGGTAAATGAAGAAGCAATCACAATAATTGGACCAGCCGCCACCAACGCACCGACAACATTTCCTCCGACCACATGACCTTGTCCTCCGGCGAGAAATACGCTCAGGCTTGTTGCTCCTGGCGGAGCTGGAGGCGGCAAGAAAGATCCGGACAGAGACAGTATCTCAAACCTGCCCTGCAGGGTCGCGACGGCTCCGGCTGGTGATGGCTGGCGGATTGTCACGTTGGTGACCGTGCCGCTCCCACTCAACACACAGATCCCTCGCTGTCTCCTCCTTGCATAAGTCGCCACACACTCAAACACATCGGAGCCGCCGCTAACCTCAAGAATATGAGCTCGAAGCGCGTTGGCACTCTCGCGCGTGATTATCACCGGCGGCTTCGGCTTATTCTTCGATCCTGGCGGCCTACCCCTGGGCCGGCGGACAACATCACCTGAACCGGCCGGGTTAAGCCCTTGAGGGTTCGGACTATCTTCTTGGTTATCATCGTCATCTTGGTTGGATTGAAGATTAGGGCGTTGAAGCTGATGATGAAGGAGAAAGTGATGAGATTGTGAAGAACCCAAGTCCAGGCCGGCCATAAACACACTCACAAAAGCTAAAGCCAAGTAAAACAACAGGAAAACAGGAAGAAAAATTTATATTATTATATATATAGTAAAAGAAGAGAAGTACTAAGATTAAGAACAGTGAAGAGATCAAGATTAAATATATAAATGCAAAAGGTAGGAGTGACCAATGATTCAGACCTAAGAACCAATAGAAAAAGAAAGGGAATGATAATGGAGGATGAGTAGTGCAGAGAGAAAGTGAATAAGATATGAGAGGAGAGAGATTAAATGAATGTGGAAGAATAAAATATTCAACCCTGTGCAATTTTTTTATTTAATTGTTTTGGTTTAACTATTCTTTTTTGTCGTTATATAGTTTATTCAACTCTTGGATCCTAAGTTCCTAACGTTCAAAAATCTTAGGTTAATTCTTATTATTATTATTATTATTATGTTGCCAGAATTCTTATTATTAAATTTATATGAGCAGTCAGATTTTATTAACACGACTTAATTAATATATCCTGTATACTTGAACACTTAATATGTTTGATTTGATGTATTATATATGTCAAGAAAAGTACGAAAATAGATAATGTAAAATAGAATTAATGTTTATGTATAATACGTGATGTAACATACATTAAATTACTTTGTGTACAATAATTAGATAATGCATATTTGAAATTTTTATGATAATATATCATTACACATATTGACAGAAGTTTAATCATACGTTGACCAAAGTTTAACTGTAAGCTAAATTAAGAAAATAAAAATTATAAAGCCATGATAAAATTTAAACTTGCATTGACTAAAATGTATCCAGAAAAATTAGCATACAAAAATAAATATAAAAGGAAACTAAAATTTTAAATATTAATAATTTTTTTGGTGATCTTGACTTCAATTGAAATAATCCGTGGCCAGAGTCAACTTGCGATGTTTCATATTAAAAATAATTTTTATGCGTTTGTTATAAAATAAAAAATTTACTTAAAAAATAGTGATGAGAAATTATTGTTACGCCTGTGTTATAAAATTAATAATACTAAAAATGAGAACACATACGATAACGATTATATAAGTGCAATAAGTATTAAAAATATTAGACAAGCAAGATTCCTTTCTTTTCTTAAACCAAACGGAACTGCATATATATGTCTGCATGTGGGAGAGATTATTTAGGAAACGTAGCTTATTTAACTTTATATAAAGAAAGCTTAAAAGTTAATAAGCATGGGCTGCATTTAGTGAATGAATATATAAAAAATTTCTCTAATAAATAGTGCTTTTTTCCTTTTTTTTTTATTCCTTTCTCTAGGTCATCTCCATACGTTTAAGTCTTGTTTTGATTTAATTATAATAAATATACATGTGTATACATATTCGTCATGTTCGAGATGATTGACATATATACCTTGGTATAATGCCCTTGTTAATGAAGAGCTGATCAAAAGATCTATGTTTTGATATGGATTTTGCGTATATTATAATATCCATAGCAAGACACTATTCTCAAGAAAGAAAACACTAGTGTTTGACTAGTCATCTTATTATCTAATCTTATAAATTGCTCTCTCTTTTTTTCGGTTCTAAATATACGACATTTTTAGAGGCAATATTTGGTGCATGATATGATGATCCTCATAATGTGGTTTTTCTAGATATTATCCTTCTTTTAAGAAGATTTCGGGTTTATTTGGATTAGCAATTAGAAAATTAACTTATTGTTAATTTGACTTTTGAAAAAGTTAGATTGGGTAAAAGTTAAATTGGATGATATGAATTGAGTTTGGATTGGATTTTATAAAAGTTGGTTTGTAAAAGTTAGATTGGGTAAGAGGTTGTTTGGGGTATAATTGAATAAAAGTAAGTTTAGTTTGTAAAATTACCAAAATGGGTATGAGTTTTAATAAATAATGAAACATGATAAAGAAATAAATCTACATAATACAATGAATTTAAATTATTTTAATATGAAGAAGTAAAATTTAGTGACTGAAATATATTTTAAAACATTAGAGATATCATAAAAAATTATTGGGATTATAAAGTGAAACATAATTTTAATGGATGAAATATTCTTAAATTTAAATTCATGAGAGAAAGAGAATAAAAATAATATGAGGGAAAGAGAGAGAAAAATTGAGAGTTTTTGACACAAATAATGATGACATTAATGGTCATAGGCATGGTGAGGGCACAGGAAAAGCTACTCTTGTTGGCTTGTACAAATCGTTCAATTGAGGATAATTTTTGGGCATAAGTAAGATAACCCAACAGTTTAAACAAACAGGCTCTTAATTTTCAATCGGGCTTATGGTAGGCTATAAGTTACTTCTGGGCTTTTGAACGCCCAGCCAAACAGACACTTCAATATATAAATGTAACCTTAGTTCATGCTTTCTCCCAATCCCTACAACTTTCTCATTATTGTCCTCTGTCTTCCTTTTCTGTTTAGAGTAGGATTTTATGTATTAGCCTTCATTTTATTGATGTTGTTGATCTCTTATTCAAAAAAAGAAAGAAAGAAAGAAAGAGGAGGCAAAAGTACTAGTCACCTTATAATATTAAATGATTTTTCAACTTCATACTTATCTATTTAATGTGGTATAATGGGTTTTGGGAACTTGAATGTAGAGAGATTTACATTCACTACTATATGTTTGCTTACATTTGATTAATGCTCCATTTGGTGTGCTTGAATTGAGGTAGATGGATGTGGAAATGAAATTGATTTCCATCAAAAAGTCATGGAAATGGCTTCCACATGGAAGCTAACCCCATCCAAATTGATGGAATTGGCTTCCATCATATGAGCCGTGGAATTCTAAAAAATTCCATGAAATTCTTGTTTTGCCCCTCCTTCATTTCCTTACCCTAACTCCATCACCTCATCACTGACTTCCAGCCACCCACGACGGCGGCGACTGACGAAAGTGATCTCCGAGCCACCCGCGATGGCGTCTCATCCTTTTACATATCTTTGGTGACGGTGATGGCAACAAGATGTGCACCTCTTTCACAGAACGAAAAAACCAGCAACTTCGATCATGCATTTGTCTCCAACCAGCTTCACTTGAAGGCTTGGTCTAAGGCCTTGTCCCAAGTCATAACAAGACCAGCTTCATGTTATGGTGATGGATCTTCAACTTTCTGGCCCTGATCTTCCATTCTTCCCCACCTTCGACTTCTCTAGCTTCTTCATCTTCTCGGCCTTCAACTTCTACAGAGATGTGTGAATGTTCATATGTTTTTCTGGGTTTGATTTGATATTGTTGGGTTTGATTGGATCTGGATTGATTTTCGGGCCAAGGTGACGGCCTTTTGGATTGTTAGTGGTGGTTGGATAGAAGTGGATGAGTTTGATTGATTTTTTTTCTAAGATGGGTCATTGATGCTATTTCGGGAATATTTTTCTTATTTAGTCTCGATTCCTCATATCCAAGTTTCTGCAAGTTCACTGCATATTTTTTCCAGATTATGAGTAGATGGTAGATGTTGTGTGTGATGTTGCCATGTTCGAAGAGGTGAAAGCATAACACTTTCACCATCAAGCCATGAGTTCGAATGTGGTAGATGTTAATGTTCGATTAGCATATGGTAGATCGTAGATTTGAAGAGTGTAAGAAAATGGGCCAGTCCACCCTTGGTGGATTGGACCCAGGCCCATTGACATTTGGGGCTCCAGTGTGAATAACAAAGCATATGGGTCCCTAACTGCAATTTTAGCCTTTTTTATATGATCTGCAAAATGGGGGGGACGGTTAGACGAAGGAGGCGATTTATTATTTTCAAAAGTATGGAGTTACATAACTGATCCAAGAGGGATCATTTTGAGAGTGCGTGCTTTTCTCCATATTCTGTTGGTTCCTCCAGACTCCTCCCACTCTCTGAACCTCTCCTTCCCTGTGCATTTGCTGTGTCTCCAAGATCCGAGTTCAATACTATAATCGGACCTTTGTGTGGCTATCTGAATATTTTGAATACTCCAGGTACGCCCGAAATCCTTCATTGGTATCAGAGCAGTGATTTTTCCTGTTGGTTCTATGGTATGCGTTTTTTTTATATCAGTGTTCTTTCCTGTCTTTCGGTTTTGAGCATCAGAGATTTGCTTCACATATATATTATGCAAATATTTTCATTTATACTACAGTATGATTGTTTTCTGCCTTATATTAATAAGTAGATATGATAGATTATGTCTTTGCCTCCATAGAACACGTTCTACATCAGTATATTTTTTGGCCGTACGTTTGACTTTTTGGGTGTTTGGAAAATGAAGTTTTTTGGCTTTAAAAATTATCCCATTGTGTAGAGATCGGAGAAATGAAGAAATGATATAAAGTACGTGAAAAACGGACACCGGACGGCGAAGATACGGAGGAGAGAAGGTATCAGGTCCGACGGGTTCGTCGGACCCGACCTGGTTGTAGAAGCCAGGTCAAGATGACCTAGCTAGAGGTTGAAGGAGACCTCCAGGGGCCAAAATAGCGTCGTTTTGGCCCCTCCTTTAAAAAAAAAACCTATACTAGGCTGGACGCAGGATCCAACCCAGCTAAAAAAAAAAAAAGGAAAAGGTATCTGGGCCGGGAGAAGGATCCAGCCCGAAACAAAAAAAACATTTTTTTTAAGGGGAACGAGCTTGGGTCAGCTCTGGATTGGGTTGGTTTGGCGCCAACCCAGTCCAGCCCAGTATATATTAAAAAAAATGAATTAAAAAAAAAAATTTTGGGTCCAAAACTGCTACGTGGCGCGTGCTGCCACGTGGCATGCCATCTGGTTATGTGGGGCCCACCACCTGAAAGGTTGTGGCGCGTGGAGGCCGCTCGCGGCAAGCTGCAGGGCGGCGCGTGTACTACACGCGCCGACAAGATGAGTGGGAAAATATTTTTTTTCATTTTTCTCAAATTTTTTCTTCTAGAGGAGCATGTAGGCGCGTGGGTGGTCCATTTGAGGTGCGGTTTGTCTCTAAAAATCCCTAAAATCAAGATCTTCATTTTGATATATAATTTGATAATTTTTGAGACAATTAAGGATCCACTGGTGAGTATTTTTAGTGTATTTTCTGGTATTTTCATGCAGAAATAAATTCCAGAATATTCAAAGTAATTTAAATTA